TAGAAAATCCCAGTGGTATGAGTGAAAACACTTCAAATAAATCTATAAGCCCTCAAAACAATGTTAAAGGACAACAGATGTTCTTCTCCCAACTAGCCTGTTCGAAGACTCATGCACTCCCTAGAACTCATTTGTTTGCATTGATTAAAGTGAGTATTCAGATCCAGATTCATACAAACAGAGAAACTGAGATGAACAGGTGCATAAGGAAGGACAGGCTGTGTCTGTCCTCTTCTTGCTGGAAAAAAACCACCTCTCTGAATACATGAAGATAATGGAAAAATACAGACCTTTGCATATACCTTTACTTCAGACTGAATATCTTTATAATGTAAAACAGAGCCTGCAAAAAAAAATAAATAAATTCAAGTCTTAAATTTAGGCTGAACACTACTTTGGGAATTAATTATTTCTTTTGCTGTGTTTTTTGTGATACATGGCTGACACACCGGTACCTTGGCTGATGTGCTGCCAAAACAAAATATAATCATTATTATAACTCCTGCCATTATAAGTCAATTCTGAAATTAAATCAGCAATTCAGATTCATCTTGCAGTCAAGAGTTCTTAAGCAGGAGCCTTTCCCCCTAACCATCTCCACTAGGAAGCATTCCTTTCAAATAAAAATGATAACAATACAGGCCCAGATGTGACCATGAGAGACAAAAATGCCATGTGGGTATCAAAATCTCAAGTTTGTAAGCAGCTAAAATGCCAGGCATTAGCCTAAGAATTTATCAGTTTATTCACAGACTCATTACGTAAAAGCCATCAATAAAGCTGGGAGCAAGGAACAATGCCTAGCCCAAGTCATTAGGCTAAAAAATAATTAGCTGTGATTAGGACTATGTTCCTTATTTCTTCCACAAGCGATACAGCCGTATCAGAAGAAGTGATGAACCTTCCATGATGGTCCTTAGCAAAGACTAAACCAGGTGGCTGTGTACTTCTAAGTTTAAGAGCTATGGATTTGGATCTTCTCAGCCAAAGCTGAGTGTAGAACAAGCTTCTTGCACCTTGGACAAGTACTGCAAACCATGTGGAAAAATAAGCATGGAGATCCTACCCCCAACAACAACATCTGGAAGGATGGGAGCAGTGTCTGCAATTTAGGTACTACTGAGCACACGTGTCAGTCTTGGGGTTGGGGATAGTCTGACAGAAGCTTTGCACAGCCTGAGTAAGTACCAAAATCCCCTTTAAATTGTCACACAGCATCTTCAGTACCTTAACCTTTGCAAATCAGTTCTGTAGCCTGCAAAGCCTCTCACAGCACTTTTTCACCTAAACAACAGAAGGGTCTTCCTTCCTTGCTGCTCTCCTGCTGTTATTCTCCCACATTCTTGCACCTGCAAGCCCAATATTATTATGGCAGGTTCTCTAGAACCTCAAGATGTTCCCACTGGCATAAGATTCAATGCTTCTTTCTTTCCTTTTTCGTCCCCCTTGACTGCAGCCTTTGGTTTACATTAGGGGCCCAGTAATAGCCTGAACACAGTTTACCCACAAACCAGTATGCAGCAGCTACCTCAGATCAAAGCTGCTCTAATCAGCACTAACTGCATCCATCACAAGCAGGAATAACCCAACAGGGAGTTTGAGTAGGTCAAGGTGAAAATCACACTTACTAAGAGAAAGATATTACGGGAGGTTTCACTTCCTGCACTGGATCCAAGTGAGTCCAACTTTCTGAAGTTCAGAATTACAGAGTTTTTTGTTAATATACTAAAGATGACCTGCTTTTGCCATTTCTTCTCTGCATTAATGCTAACTCATAACCAAGATCATCAATCGGAGTAACTAAATTAGTAGAGAAAAACTAACTTTCAAACTACTTTTGTTGCATGGCTTCAAATAACAATTAAAAAAATCTTTTGTTGTGAGAAATCTAACATCTAAAGTATTACACAAACCATAGTCTCAAAGGCTTGAACAAATCAAGATAAGCTGAACATAGCAGTAAAAATTTTATAGCAATATACTTCAGACAAACAATTCTGTACCCTCTTTCAGCTTCATTTTCATCAAAACCGAAACTTCTGGAAGTCAGGAAATGCACTGTGTTCAGACACAGCCCATATGCTCCTCACCCAAGAAACAACAGGAATTATCTGCAAACACAAGAACTGCAATCACTAGGCAAAGAGCCATACTGTGAAAGTGAAACTAAGCCTGACAGCCATGCAAGGGAATCTTGGGAATCGCTCTGACTGACAATCACCCCTGTCCCCATTCCTGCCTGTTTGGTCCCGTGCCTCCCTAGTCCTCCTCTTCCTTTCCAGTGTGTCACTGCAGCTCACAATGCTACAGATTTTAATAGTTATGTGGCAATAACCCACAACCACAGTAATTTTGCAGTAAGTCTTCATTGCTCCTGAGCAAAGAGCATCTCCCCATACAGCTCAGGAAAGCCAGAAAAGCCTCTTGCTGGGATTAGCATTTTGAGAAAAAAAGACCTACTACTATACTAGAAAATATGACTGAGATTAAAGTAAAATATTGGAGTTGAAAAGAGCAAACAGCACTGTGTGTCAAGTCTGCAATCTGTATTTATAAACTATGGGTAAATACCACTGTCTCCTGCTAAATCTCTGACTGATCCAACCACCCCCTGCAATTCAGTAACTTTTATCAATGATTTTATGAATTACAATTTCAAATGGAGTATGTTGACTAGAAGTCATTACTATACATTTAAGAGTGCACTGTATAATCAAAAATATGAGTATGTGTTTCTATAACATTAAGCATCAATAACACTGTGTCAATGCCCTTCATTTACTTTGCTGGAGAAGGGCTGGGAAGCAGTTTTTCACTCATGAGAATAAGGGAAGTAAAGCAAATACATTCTCATTTTAAATTTGGTTTGACTGTTGCAATCCTTAACCACAGAAATGTCCTACCAACTCTGTACAATTACAGTTAAATTGACTGACAATTTTCGATCAATAAATCAGGTTTCACCTACTACACTGCACAATCCTTCCACAAAACTAAATATGAATTTTCAGACTGGCATAGAAACTATGTTTAATTATTGTAACCAGTTTCTTGATAAAGGCATTCAAAATAGTTCTGCAGTTGAAAGATTCAACAGAGCAAAACCACACTACTTAATTAAAAATAAAAGGACATTTGAAAGCAAATTTCATCCTTCAACTAACCCAAGAAATAATGAGAAAGAAAAAGCAAGAGAAAACAACCGTATGTCTGTATACTGATTGTTCACTCAGCCTCAAAACAAACTGGGTGTCAGAGACATTCAAAAACTTTTTAACAGAATGAAAATAACAAATACCAACATTCAGAAGGATCACTGCCTTTTGCTAAAGACCAGTCAAAAATCGCGGGGTTTCCACTGAGATTTATGATTATACTATGCCAAAACCACCATAGGTGGTTTTGCATGATATATATGTATCTTTGCATGACATGTGAAGCAGAAGTGAATAAATGTGTAGAGATAAAATTTAATTTTAACAAAAATGTTACCAGGAAAACATGAAAGGGCAGAACATTAAGCCAGCTTTAACTTTTGTGAAATGTATCAGACAACTGAAAGGAAGTATTTTTGTCGATTCTACAGGCCTGGGATAACATACTACTGAAAAAGCTGACCACTGATAGGAGGTCTCATGAGGGAATGTGCAGTCAAGGAGGTTCAGAGATTGACCTGAAACAAAAAAATCAACAGTTTTGCACTATATCATTTCTATGTTTACAAAATCACCTAAGCTTAAAATTCAACTCACCGTGTGTCTAGACTTTCCATGTAAATTCTGGGGACGTATTACTTAAATATTCTTACTGTAAATTTTTACTAACATTTTATATTGTATCAGTTCAATACGAAACAACGACATCAAAAATCCCGAATAATTATTTGGACTACAGGGAAAACCTTGGTGCTTCAGAGGTCAACAGCAGAACTCTCTAGTAAGGATAACTTCACAGTATGGTAGAGTTGAGATGTATGTTTAAGACACCCATACTTGATTGTGTAAATGAAAAAGCCTAAATGTCAACTCAAACATCTAATTGTAAATGGAAACTCATTCCCTGAAGGCATAATCTTTCACTTCCACACATCAACACAAAAATAAAGATCACAGGCAATGAAAAAACAAACCAGAAGGCCAGGCTGTTTGAAGACCAAATATTTCTTTACATCAAAAATATATCTTTATATTTAAATTCCAAGTTGCTGCACTGTAGAAGGAATAAGCAATCATAAATTTAATTTCTCTTGATCATTTGTGTTCTCTGGAAAACTGAGCTCAGGCACAACATTTGATTTTCAGTGAAGACCTTGGTTAACTCATCTTCTGTCTGGGTTCATTATAAAGCAAAACAGTAGAGAAATAAGCCTCAGCATCATGTAATTCATTCTCCACTAAACTGTGAAATGCCTCATGATCGAACTTTATCCAATAATGAATGAATTTGCCCCATCATCCATCACAAGAACTCTTCAGAGTATATGTGGAATTTTTTCACTTTTCCTTTAAGATGAACACACAAAAGTACGGCAGTTACATAAATCATTTTGTTTCTTAAAACCTTGCAGAACTTAGGGCCAGTTTGATAGCTAACCATGTACAAAGCTGAAATTAAGAATATTAAAAATGTATTTTTTCAAGTAGGATTTATGCCTTGGCATCCCTCTCATCATTCTGCTTGACTGGAGAGGCTGGTTTTAATTCTTGACCTTAAAATAAGCCACATGTGAAAACTGGGTGTCGTTCCTTCTTGCTTGATGGTGTTTTGATTCAGCAGTCACATATTGTCTATCATCGTTTGCATACATCGATCTATTTGGACATGGCCAAACAATGATTTGAAAAACAGTAAATAACACAATCATAATTTAACCACTCGGAAATTAGATCCTAAAGAAGTTCTTAGAATGAAAACTTGGCCTCCACATAATTAGTAGCAGGACTCTTCTGCATTGGTTGCACCACAGATCACTTTTTTGAAAAGTTTCAGTGGTAAATATTTCAAGCAGGAGGTACTGGCAGTCTTCTTACTATTTCCTTAGCTATCTTCAGATAGGCTTTAGCCTGTAAAAACAGAAACACATATTTAGTACCTTTCATTTTCTATAAAAAGGAATATTTTACGTCTCGTTAGGTATCTGCTTGTTCATACACCTTCAAAGAAAAACAAACATGTTTAAAAAAATGGGTCAATTTAGCCTGTGCTAGGCTAATTAATGCATCATTAGGAAAAATGATGCATTAATACAAAAAATAAAAGAAGCATTACTAAAAAATCTTAGGAGGGACTTTGCAAAATTTAGCTTGGGTATTGTTCTAAGAATAGAACTTGACTGAACAATCTGTCTTAAACAGCAGTCAATAGTCTTCTGGAAGAGAAGTGTTGAATAGGAAGTAGACTCTTTAGTCTCATAGGTACTATTAATTATAAATTTCCCTCATCCTGAAGACCAAGATGTACTACTGTCCATAGGATAGAGCAGAAGAATCAGAGAAAGCAACAACAGTCCAAAACCAATTTTTTTTGAGAGAATTAATTCATTACACACTAGACTACACTTCAGAGTTTCCTATTCAGACATGTAAAATTAATATATTTTCAAAAAAAGGCTTTCCAAAAGACTGAAGTGGGCATTGGAAAGAACTAATTCCACAACACTAGAATCCACACAGCTAAATCTCCCTTTCACACCAACCTGTGGCATCTGGCCAGACACCATCAGTTGGAGGGCACAATAGCACAGAACTGCAGGACTATGGGAGAACAACCCATGGAAGATACTTTTGTTAACATCTCTAAAACCCACAACACAGCCAGGACCATAATCAGTCTGACATCATGAATTAATAAATTTAACGTCAAGAGACATAACACCACAAAGTCCACCACAGAGCAAATCACAAAATTAAACCAAATAATGCCTGCACCAAGCTCAACAACTTGTAGTCAAAATAGAACGGGTCTTTCAAAAATCCCTGGTATCTTGATATAAGGATTTTTAACTAAAATAATATCTTTGTGCATGTGTGTACATGCATTGTACATTGTTCCAGAGGTTATTTCCATTGTTAAAATTGTACACCTCGTCTATAACTTGAATTTGTCATGCTTCAGTTTCCAGCTGGTACATCACATTCTGTGTCTGTCTAGTACACAGCAAAATCCCCTACTTCAGCTTGATCCTACTCTTTTAGATTGTGGCCAACCTACTTCTTCATCTGCTCAAATAAGTCTGCATACAGAGCTGACAACCTTCCCTGTTTTACTAGAAGAAATCTCCACAATAATCTGTACGCACTGAACTTTGGTGTCTCCTGCAGCACTCTTAGATAGCTCTAACCATCAATTAGAGCTTGGATCCATTATGAGCCTTTAAAACAGCAAAGAAATGGACACATGCCAGAGGCCAGAGCTTAAGGGGCAGGAAGGGAAGGTCTGTCTGACACAGCAAAGCCACTAGCACCTGCTGTCACTGGTATGAACAAGGTGTCAACCTTTTGCAGGCCACACACTGCTCACGTCTCCTCTTTTCTAGGGATTGCTCCTGGCTTGTAGTGTTTTCTCTTCTAGCACTCCCAGCCTCAGTGCCTCATAGTCTCAATGCTCACATCACCTTCAAATTAAAGCCACATAATTTTCTGAGTTTGTAAGACAGAGTTGTTTTCTCTCGTATGCAGCAGAACTGAATTCACAAGCATGAAATTCAAACCTCTCTGGGTACAAGTGTGGTGTGTTTGGGTGACACAGCCAGTGCACAACACTCGCCTCGCTTAGCTGTTAATTCTCTGGGTGACCCAGCTACTCCCCAGCCAGTCACCCACCTAGACAAGATAATGGACTAACTTGAAATAAGGTGATTGACTGAAGTCAAGCTGCATTTGCAGTTAAGTATTTGACTAATTGGTCTAGGAGCGCTCCAGGTGGGAATTCTGAACTACTTTGAACAGTCCCACAGGCAGCTCCCACTTTGCACAGATCAATTCACGTGTTTTAATGAGTCAATTAACAACCTTCATGAAATATCTGGTCCCTTCTAGAGACTGTCCAGGTTGTTTGCCTGCTCAGAGCTGACCAAATTGTACACAGAATTATATATCCCCCATAAAAATTGTTCCTGCCAGTGCAGGAATAGTAACACAGGCCAGTGTTTTTGTGCATAGTTAAAAGGAGATGTTTTGTACACAAATCAAGCTAATAATCAGCAAAGGATCATGCATATTCTCTATTAGACATACAGGACCATGGAGTAGCTGCATTCTTAAAACTGAGCTAAACAGCAGTTCAAGGAGTCTCATTTGATTCAGCCAAAGATAACAGTGGCAAGGGACCTTGGAACACAGACTTCCATAACCATCCAGAGAGAAGTCAGATACCTTGCTTGGGGAACTTGATTGCTTGTATAAATGTTACCCTGTGTCAAGAGTCCAGTAAATTTAAGATTTTTATCCCCCAAGATGTTGTTAATGAGTGTCTGAGCAACAATTTCTCAGCGTACGCTGGCTCTCATTTGTCACACAGCTGATCTGCTGCTTTGCAACAGAAGGTTCCTGGTGCAACTCTCTCTAGCCAGCATGCTAGTATTATCAGCAATTGATCTTACCTGTTAAGTATCCTTTTTTTGTTTTCCTAGACCACTACTTGGTCTGTGGAACAGAGCAGTATCTCATACATGTCCTTAAAGAACTCTACCAGTAACCTGGCTTTGACAAAAATCAACTCTTTCAAGCCTTAGTTTCCTACCTTTGAACAAATCATTTAGGTATGAGTGAGAATCTGTCTATCAATCAACATAACTGAAAGGTCTAAATGGAATCTTGGTGATTGTCACTATGCATTACATAGAAACAACTCGACATGCATTGGAAAGTTTCTCCTACTCATGATCTTTTCAATGTGGCATCTCTAGACAGTGAGCAGAACTCAGTTCGGCTGTTTACTCCATCTCTGCTAAGCAAAAGAAGATGGGTTGCAACTGAATATGGACAGGGTTTATTATTTCCTTTCTAGGTGGAAAGCCAGAGGAGAAAAAGTAAAGGAGGAGTTCTTATTCATCACTCACAATCATTTTCATTTTAATAGCATAAAAGCAAACTTCATGGGTCATTTTTCCCCTTTATGTTTGAAAGCTCTAAAGGAATGGTTTATAAACTCTTTCTGAAAAACATTTTTTTGCAGATGGACAACTTTGTATTTAACAATAACATATCAGTTATCATTCTCCCTGCTTCAAGAGGATGAAGAAGTGCACAGGAAGACAGAATGCCCTAAAAACAGACCAGACTTGTTTATTATGAACACTGCCTAGATGGGGTCTGAGCACTGGGACGAAAGCAGGTAGAGGTGGAAGGTGACATTCTAGAGTTGAAGGAGCTGGGTAACAGCCATGTGAGACACTGTTCACCTCTCAGACACTGGTACAAACACTGCCAGAAGCACACAGTTCTCCTTAGAACCTCAAGGGCACAGCAGATGATGAAGTGACTAATGACAGCATAGATCATGGAGTAGGAAACAGAGAACTTGTACTGAAGTTCACCAGGAAATGGACTGAAAAGTCCTACTTAGCCTAAATAATCAGAACATCCTGATTCATTACTCTGCCATGGGATAATAGACATGGGGTAGATTTAAACTGAAAGAGTTTTTATTAGCTCATCTAATTAAGCTCTACAGTAATCCTAGAGAAATATAAGCCTTTCAGTTACAGCATTTCATTCTCCCTAAAACTCTTACCCGTGAGGGAAGTATGCATCACTGCTAAGATTACAGCAAACAGAGTGTACAGGTCATAGCTGACTCTACCCTGTTCTCATGGATAGGATTGGCTTGGCTTAACCTGCTGGTTTGCCTTCCACTGTAGTACAGATCTTAGCCTGTAAACAGCTCACTACAGTGGCTTCCAGTCCATGGTGCAGTGGCCACACAAACACAGAACTCAATTTACAAAATCAAAACTGGTAGGAGCTGACATCACATTTGCCTTTACCCAAACCACTGCACACAAACAACTTCAGCAGAAAAAGCATACTGATCCCATTACTGGGCTGCAGGCCTAGTACACCACGGAGTATAAATCCCAGTACTGACATGATTTCTAACTTCTATTTCTGATTATGAGACTCCATAAAGAAGGAAAAGGAATTAAAATCTGCTCAACTGAGCTGTTAAGGCTTATACTCTATTCATTGTTAAAGGAAATGAGCAGCCATGTGAGCAACTATTCAAATAGTGACTATCACAAGGACAAATACTAGACTTAGCTACCATCTATATGAAAATAATCATAGTTCATAGCTTTTGTTCTTATTAGCACTCTCTACTCAACCACAGTCCATTTTCCAGTTCAATCAGATTTTTAAATAGCTTTAATCTCCATGGAAATTGCTTGTTACTTTGACAAAACTCCAACCTTCAGTGCATGACTGAAGTTGCCCTCCTATGTCAGTATTTTACTGTGGTCAACTCAGAAGGCACTAAAAGCATGATGATAAACACAGCTTTAATTGAGCTTCCAGTACAGTTAAACGCTTCATATCCACCCAGAGAAATTCTTGTTTGCTGCTGAAAGGCCCAGAGCCTTTCCTACTCTGTCCTCCTCTGGGCAGGTCTGCTGTAAGATTCTTCTTTGCACGTACTGGCAACTCCTGCCAAACTGCAATGAAGTACCAGCCCAGAAAAGGAGACTTAATGAGACAATAAAAGTCAATCCATACATTATAACATGAAATGGAGGAGAAAGTAAGCTGGATTTATGAAACAAATCTAAAAAATAATCCTATATATCAGCAGTTGCAACAGCCAAGCCATCCTCTGAGGAAGCCACAGCTCAGTAATAGGTGCCATTATGCATGTACATCACTCAGGTGCCACTACAGACATCTAAAGACATCCTGCCAGAAAACATGGTTAAGTAGACCAGCGAAATTCAAATGCAGTATAATAAAGTCCTTCAAACAGACTATCCTACCACTTGGCATTTTCTTCAGCAGAGAGAACCATAAATGAGGGTCTGATTGTACTATCTACGCCCTGAATGAAGGATTTGAACCTGCACATACCAAATTTTACTGTGATCACTCAAAGAAAGCTTTGATGATACGGCATATTATAAATCGTATCATGCAGCCTTCCTTTTCTTTCAAAAATATCACACCCTGGAGTGATCACTCTTTAAATGGAATTATTGATGACCACTAAACAACACCAAATATGATTCCATGATTATTTGCTACCAGTACTCCAATTTTTCTCCAACAATTTTGTGCAAGCTCTAAAAGGCTGTACATTTTCATCCTATTTACAGATCACCCCTTCATAGAGTTCTACAGAAAAAGTGTTTCTGAATACAAATTTCAGCTGTCTCTTTGGATGATACCATAGGTCTATAGCATTCTGATTTAATTGAAAAAGGGATTTTTAACCAGATTTACTTTCCTCTGTTACATCAGACTGCTGATGCCTTGTGTGCCTGCTTTCCACCTGAATGGGCTTTTTCTCTCCCCTTATAGATCTGTGTGCAATTTACTGGACTCAAAATCCTTCACCAATATATATGAATACATGAAATCTGCAAGAGGGATGAATATATTTCACATTGTTATATATGAGCTAGACAGTACCAGAACCTCCCTCAAGAAGTATGTGAGGTCTGCATCATACACTAGTCTTTATCACAAGCTGGATAGCATAACACCCAGCATGTTTTTCAGCCACAGGTCATGGTTTCCTTGCTCCAGGACAAGTTTAGCTCTTCTACTCAAGTCATACATTCCTCACCATACTGCACGTAAGTTTGTGCATATCTGTAAAAGGCTGTGCAATCTGGGGACCCAACACTTTTAAGCTGTATATGATTCACCGGGTTTGCTCCCTTTCACCTTCCCCTGCTTTCCCAACACACTCTGATTTTTATGGAACAGTATTTTTCCTTAATAGATTCCAAATGCTTTCCATAACACGTGGCAAGAAAAAAACTAAGAAACTAACTGACCATTATGAGTTTCCTGGAATTTGTTTGGGTTTTTTTCCTAACAGTAGTCATTCTCTTTATACTTTGTCATGAGGTGTCACTATCTCTTTAATAATGCATAAGGGCAAGAAGGTGAAATCTAAATTTCATTCTTTCATGACTTCTCTGCTGTCTTGAATACATTATCCCTGTTGAACTTTAGAGGTGTATCATCTCTCCTCCACAACTTTTTTTTTTTAATCACCTAATTCCCAAGACAAGATGATGAGACACAACATCTACTGTTTGCCTCAGCCTCCAGCATGTCTCTTCCCTGAAATGTCTATCCCAACATGATTCCCTGGCTTTTAGGATGTGAATGGACACAGTGGTAGAGCAAATGTGTCTTGCACTTGTTTGAGTTGCTTCTTCAGTCTTGAGACAGATGGGAGCTTGGTGCCTGATGGTCACAGATAGCCCATCTATTCTAGCAAGGTATTAAAAAATCCACTGTGCCATTAAGGCTGTGAAGCAGGAAATCCTCACAAGATAACCACCAACTGCCCCATATGTCTCTAGGTTTTGTGCTCACAAATGGAAGAGGTCTTAGGAACCTCTACTTACCTTTTCCCTCAGTGCTGACAGAGAATTCATTGGGCATTTAAACAACTCATTTGGTGAAAGAATGACTCCACTGCAACTAAACGTGTTCTATTTCTCTCACTGTGTTTCTAGTCCTCTTATCTGCAAGTTTCAGGATGCCTCTCCCAAACACCTGTTTTGCTGCTGGTTCCTTCTCCTGGTCCATAGGAGGTTCCCCTACATCTGAGCATAATCAATTTCACTTGGTTTCGGCAATTCCTCTTTTGTTTTCCCTATTCTACCCTTTCCTCTCATTTATTTCCCTATAATCTAGTATTTTAGCAGCACTCCTGATTTTCCTTAACTAGCTTTTGCTATCTAGTGACTCTCTCGTACATTTGGACGACCAGAAAAATGAAGCCCTAGTCAGCCAATCCACCTCCACAGCCTGATGGAGCAGAAAAATGCTCAATTCAGAAGGTTCTGGTAAGTCCTCACTGTTGATTAAACTAAGAAATTATTAGCTTCTTGTAGAGAATTTTGGGTCATTCCCAACTGCTGCATTAGGCTGGCAAGCAAGTGCAGCATTATTCCATTTCTACAGCACATAACAAAGTTTTGTCACTGAAGAGTATCAAGAAAAAGCCACAATTTAAACAACTAAGCTGACAGAAACACTAATGTAGGCAATGTTATACCAAGAGCAAAATAATTTTACCAGCACTGTTTATTTCTCCCTGAGGACTGCCTCAAGCTTCACCAGAAGAAAACTCCAGCCATTAAGCCCTCATATCCTTTAGCTACATTGTCAGCCCTTTCCATAAGTAGCAGAGCCTTGTGTATTCTGTGCCTTCCCTGAGGAAGAATTTTCTAAGTTAACTGATGCACAATTTTACAAGTAATTTTCTGGTTTTAGTTGTAATTTCCTTGTCATTTGTGAAAAGGAAACCCCTTTTCCATCAACTACATCTAAGCTTTAAAATAATGAAATCAGACAAGTTTGCTTACACATTTTGAAATTCTAGTGTAGAGTCAGAGCTATACTTTCATCTATCAGCAAGGCAAGTTGAACCCCATGGCAGGTGTGTAAGCAAAAAAAGTATTAGCCAACGTATTTTAGAAACATCCTTTATTATAGGTTTGGCAGATCTTAGAAGGTGTGACAACATGCTGGGTTTCTAAGAAGTCAATCACCATCCTTGTTCCCTACTGTTTGAATCTGCTAGATATTATTTCAGGTCTATGATTCTGTATTTGATTTGTAAGTGTGTCCTAATAAAATCAGCACAAAATTTTGTATGAAAATCCCTTGCACATTTAAAGGACAGGAACAGAGATAATTTCAGCATTGTTCTCTATGTGGAAAATTGTGATTGTTCATGCATGAATAGCCACAATTTTAGTTTATTTGAGAAACATGGTGATGAGTGTCATGTATTGAAGATTAGAATCTGGCCTTATATGACCTCTCCCACCACCAGTTATGTGCTAAGAATTTATTTTTTTCTTTCAAAATATAAAAGAACAATAATAATTTTCTGTCTTTAAAATGAGAAGCAAACCAGGGATAAAAGGAAATTCTTTTTCATTCTGTAGAGATTAGTGACATTTTAAAAACCCTCATTCTCCAAGGAGAATTATTATCACACAGACACAATGGCAGAGAAGAATATTAAGAGTTTTCCCCAGAGTCACACATATTTTCCATCTTTATTCCTCTTCACATTTAACTTAATTGCCACAAACAGTGATTATAACCCTTCCCTTCGTTATCAAGAACATAGTTCAAGGAGGAACAGATGGCAACACAACAGACTTTCTTGTCTTCTTTTATTTTCAGAATGTTATCCTACATGTCTGAATTCTTAGATCGATAGTCGAGCAATCCACAGACTTTGGGTTATTACAGATTTCAGATACTGCGAGCTGTGAGCCTTCCATCTTAGTTTGCTCAGCTGTTTTATCTCAACTTTGACCAAAGCCATGCATCAATTCAAACCTTCACAATGCTGATCAAACTTTCCAGAGAGAAACTACTACATGGATTATAATGATTCCTTTTCACAAGGATCTTGACTCAGGATCACTACATTACTCCACAGCATGGGCCTTGCCCAAGACTAGCAAAATACTGTACTCCATTAGAAATCAACATGCCATAGTGCTGCTGCTTATCTTTCAAAACAAAATGATGTATTACAAGTTTAAGACTGTCACTGTCCCTCCAGAATCCCAATCAGTATGTTAGTAACACTGGATTAACAATGTTAATCTCCTCCTCCTTTTTTTTTTCTTTTAAAATACTGGGAAGGAAAATGAGTATTTCAGCATGTGCCTAGCAATCATATCTCGAATTGATTCTACCATCTAATATCAGCATTAATCACTTTTTTCACTATAATATCTAAGCTGCAGTCAATAGTGAGGCTGGATCATGTCATATATTGTGCACAAGACCCTGCCCAACAGAGCCTGGCAGGCAAACTCCAGCAGAGGCAGAAGAAAATACCAGACAGGAAAATCTTACTCTATCAGCATTAATGAAGTTCTGTATGTACAAGTGCCTTTCTTTAAACTTGTATATTTGACTCTCACCAACTCTTATTTTCCATTGGCAATAAAATGTTATGGTAAATACATTGAAAAATCCATTTCCTCTTGTGTGTAAATTGCTGCACTTCCCCAGGTACTGACAATACACAGGTTTTGTTCCAAACATCTTTGGATAGGACACTTTGATAGTTTCCAGGCTCAGCTACCAAAAGCTCAACTGACAGTTTTAGAGGACCTACATTAGCTGGAAGGTCTCACGAGGCTTGACCCTGACCTTCCTCTTCTTGGCATGCCAGGAGCTGGATCAAATCTTTGCTTTTCTGAATGGTTCAGACTAATTAAACAAAACCAAACCCACAGAAGCAGAACGGATGACCAGCATTCCAAAATCCAGGGCCTGAGTTACTTAATGCTACTACCTTCTTTTATTTTATTTCCTTCTGTTCCATTCAGATACACATTTCTTTTCAAACAGCAGTAACAAGAAGCACTCTCTGTTCGCTTTGGGAGCAAGACTTTCTGCAGTTTTAAGTGCAGTGCCCCAGACTTACAGCATCACTTTGAGGCTGCGAGATCACAACAGGCTGTCCCGAATCACACGTCTCCCGTATATTGACCTGCAGTGGAATGTCTCCTGCATCAAAAATACCAAGATATACATAAGTGAAGACTGTATATTTCTTAAATATTTCTTTAAAATAGTCCTAATGCAACTTGAAATCAAATTCCAGTTCAGTATACTCTATGAATTACTCAACCTCCAAAAATTAGCATTTAAAATTAAATTGGCTGCAGTAAGTTTCTTTACGTCCATAACAATTAATGCCAAACATATTTTGGAATTTTTTTATTCTCTGAATACGAAGGAACATGCTTTGTAGTCAGTTATTAGAGAAGGCAGGGCTTTTTGCCTCAAATAAACAGGAAAACACAGGCTAAGATACAAATTATTTTGCATACATTAAATAAATAGCCTGAGTGTTAGGCAAATGCTCATCCTGCAACTTACTGTTCAGCCTATCTCCTCATTGTATATTCTTTTCAGTCCTGTTTTAAGATTTTTATCACTGTTCAAAGGCTTCTTTGAATATTTAATTTCTAAATAATAGCATTTGTTATTGTCCTTATTAGGCCTTGGATCCAATTCAAAGGTGGACAACTACTCAGTTCATTCTTCTTTTCAACTGAAATCTTCTTTATATTCTGCTTTTATAACAAGCAGGGAACTGTGAGAGAGGAAAGGAACATTCTAAAGGAGAATCAATTAGCGGCACTACTCCATTCTGAAAAACACAGATTTCAGCACTACAAAAAACTTGGAAGTTCCTGTGTTTAGTTCACTGCTACACCGATCATTATGAAGTGAAGACCAACTTTCTTTTAATGGAGGCCACAGCTACATTTTACATTATGGATTGATGCAAACAGAATATCCTACCGTTATTCAATCCTGACTGATCTTGGAAACTCTATCAGTTTAATTCATACACTTTAGCAACATTTATTTAACTCAAGCGAAGGCCAGTGTAAATTGATGAGGTTCAATGTGTTCAGAAAAAGAAAAGTTAAAGAAAACTGTATGAAAATTGACAAAAATTAAGAGATAAAAACCAAAACCCAAAGCAAGCAGGAATACAAACAAAACAAACAAATAGCAAACACAAAAGCTGTGGCTCCATGATTAGTGTGCTGAATCTTTGAAGAACTTCAGTTTATAACTTATGATGATTACAGTCCATTTCCTTCAAATTTAATTGTTTCTTATTTGTGTCAGTCACTAATAAATTTAGGCATAAATGTCTCTTCATTTATTCATAAAAAATATTTGGAGAGGTCTTTTAAAGTTTTTTTAACCATAAACATCCTTAATGGAACAATAGTAACTTTGTAAACCTCCTGGATATTCACTTCCTACCATTACTTTATGCAGGGACTAACCTTCACTTTTTTCCTAATGATATTTCGTTAATGAAAAAATACTTATTCACTATCAGCTTAATAACAATCTGAGATAATTACAAAATGGCAGCCTCTCTCTTCCCCATGCCTACAAAGATGTGCTGGTACTACAAGAGCTCAACAGGACCCATATGAACAAAAGTGCAGTCAGAAGACAGAACAAAACACAGTCTTAATTTTAAAAAATCCAAATTTTATAGTTTAAGTAGAACCATAACAACATCAAAGCCATCTGCATAGCTTTTTGGGTGATAAGGGTTTGAGGAAGATAAAACTTTTGCACTAATCTTCACTACAGAATACGATGGGAACTTGTCATCGTACATTTTTCTGATATTAACAATTACTTCTGACTGCAAAGGAAGAGAATAATATGAATTTATTGCAGGAAGTAAAAACAAATAGAATTTTAAAAATCTGATAGTCATTGTTGCTGGCCAGCCATCAGATAGAGTTAAAAAAGTTAGGAAATGCAAAGGTCAGGATGGAACAGACAGAAATTAATATCTCAGCATTATGAGTACCAGTGGTGTAGCTTTCTGGTCACAGTTATGGCCATCAAACTTTAAAAAAAATATTTCAGACACAGGGAGAGAAAAATCAGCAGCACAAAGTATTTCACACAAACCTTGTCACACTTCCCTTCAGGGAATAATAAAAAGACAAGACAATCAGAAGTATATGAAATAATAAACTACACTTGAAAGTGTCCTGGCAACTGCTAATTGTTGTCTGTCATAAACAAAAATAAATGAGGCATTCAGTAATATTAATGGCAGCTGACTGAGCAAGTAGAAGGAAAACACTTTTCAATCTGCTTGTAGAATTTGTCAGATGTTATCACAGAAACTAAAGCCTTGTCAGGTTTTAAAAGAGGACTAGGTGCTTATTTAACAAACAGGACAGCCACAGCTATTGCAAAATATAAAGAAAATAAATTTAGATATATTAATTTGAAATATATTTTTATAGATATGTATGTAGAAATAAGTTTGCAAGGCTTTTGGGTAGACTCCAAATAACACTGAGATAAAACTTCCCTTTGGGATAGATTAGCGTGAAATCTGTAAGCAGCAATTCTTATAATGCCATATGGTATTACTGTACAATGGTCATCCCTGGAAGGAGGAGCATATTAATCAGATCAGCTACTGCAATTCTAAATGTAACCCTCGAGGCATTATTCTTAATTTTAGTCTGGCCTTTCACTGACAGTTTGAAGGTAAACTTCACTCTGTTTTTCTTCGTACATCTCCTCTATCCCCTGCTAAATCTGTAAATCTCTCATCACTCTTGGTTAAATACAATCCCAATCAGTTCTGCCCTCTTAGGAAATAGCAAAAACCACCTATGGGCCAATGGCATGGTACATCATTTGTGCCTGCGTATCTAAATGCATGTTTGATTCAACTGCTTGCAGAGGATTTGCATCCATCCACATAACCCAGGGCTGTAGAAGTCCCCTTGGGCTCTGATCACAACTTATTATATATCCAGAAAACTAAAAGACAGCCCAAAAGCAAGTCTTTAATTATGTGTTGCCTTGCTATCTTAAGTCTATGTCAAACCTTGATGTTTCTGTGTTGATCTTTCTAAGTGAGCTTCCTGGTTCTTTTTCATGAATTAGCTATGGAAAATCATTGAGATAATTACAGTAATACATGGAAACATATCATTAGCACATGCAATTATCCCATTTACCAACTTAATTACATTGTGCTATATTCTTTACTGACAGCATAGGTTGAACCATGCCTTTTTAAAACAGCAATGTATATTTTAAAGATCCATGTATATTTTAGCTTATAGGCATGCCAGATAGCTTACTCATGGCTCATCATAGAATCATAGAATGGCCTGAGTTGGAAGGGACCTGAAAGATCATTTAGTTCCAAACCCCCTGCCATGGACAGAGACACCTTCCACTAGACCAGGTTGCTCCAAGGCCCATCCAACCCAGCCTTGAACACTTTCACGGATGGGGCAGCCACAACTTCTCTGGGCAACCTGTGCCAGTGCCTCACCACCCTCACAGTAAAGAATTTCTTCTTAATATCTAATCTAAATCTACCCTCCTTCAGCTTAAAGTAATTTTCCCTTGTCATATCATTGCTTCTCCTTGCAAAATGTCTCCAGCTTCCTTGTAAGCCCCTTCAGGTCCTGGAAGGCTGCTATAAAGTCTCCACAGAGTCAATATGCAACAGCTCATTTCAGTATGTAACAACTCATTCCATTTAAATGAAATAAATAAGAGAACGTTTATTGACATTAATGGACAGAATTCAGGTCTGTTTTAAAAGACCAAATAGAATTCTTGGTTATTTGTAAAAATTGCTGTATAATCAATAACAGAATGTGTTTTGGGTGATATAGCACATTGGTATTAAAAATATCATGTTCTGGATTGTTTGCAAATACAAAAAGATTTAAGATGCAATTCAAGAATTTTCCTAGCCAGTAACATCACCATTACAAGAATGATAAGGAACAGAGCATACAAAAATTGTGACATTCAACTACTTATTAGTTCTATTATATGTGAACACTGAATATAGAGTAATGTAGGATTATGCGGTTCCATAGTTCAGTCAATGCTTCATGCACACCATTAAATTTTTCTTCAAAAATAAAACTATTTTCATATTCTTACCCAAAACATCTAATTGAAGAGCTTTTGCTAGATCTCTTGCACCATCAGCTCCAAAAATATGTGTCTCATGCTTACATTTGGGACACTGGAAAACACTCATATTTTGAACCAGTCCTAAGACCTGTTAAAATAAAGGAAAGGATGTTCAAATCTGGCATTCAAGCATTGGCATTTCCATTATTCACCTCTGATAAAAAGGACAGCATCAAATAAGAATTGACACAGAGTACTCATTTAAAGTGGGAATGCGACTCATTAACATCATTATCAGCTCTTCTTAGTCACCTCAGCTGCACCACCATTTGTGCATTATTTCAATTTTTTCACATTTATACCTCTCAAAGACTATCAGATTTAAACAAAAAGTATCTCTTGCACAGGCCTATCTTGCCAAGAACTCTCTCTGCCAGTATTTCATTTTAAAACTCTGAATACTGAAAGAATTTTCATGCTATGTTTTACAGTTTTGTACTCTGCAGTTTCAGGAAACACAAAATAAAAACCATTACCAGAAATGACACAATCAGACACGCTTCTATGATATTTTTATAAGTTATCTTGTAGAGAAATGTTTTCAAAAAGAACCAAATTTGCTATTCTTCTGAAGAGCAGATACACATTTTAAAGATCAAACAAAAGAAATAATTATGTGAAACTAAGTGGCAAAAATGACAGCAAAAAACCCCTAACACACACATGCTGGGTACCTTTCTGTTGATGCCAGGTGCTTGACATCATCCTTACAAAATATGTCACATCAAAATTTTCCAAATCATTCACATAAAAATGTTCTTTCACAATGTACAATAATGGCAATGATAGCACTGATCTCATTTTATTCACCTAGTGAACAAAACTCTTCATTGAGGCAGAGCAGAATTCCAGAAGCAATGAAAACCACACTCAAACACTACAGGATTAAAGTTTCTACCCATCTGCTAATGAACAGAAGACCTGCCTTTAAAGGAGTCTTCCTTTACTTACGCAAAACTTTCAGAGGGTTTAAAGCAAGGAACATTTTAAGAAAGAATAACAACACCCAAAAAAAATTTAAAAAAAAAAGACGGATACTTTTGATTTAACACCACAAATGGACTTACCCCATTTTCTACTCTGTCCTAGGAACCACCACAGGAGCAAGAGGAACAAGTTTCTATTTACTGGCACATTATTACAGGTAATTTTCTCATCCAGTTCTTAAACCAAGACAGAAATGAAATACAACATGGAATAGTACATGCCCAAGGGTAGAATGTGCAGGGACAGTAAAAAGGGATCTCTACAGCCACAGCCTTCTATGGATGACCTCTGAGCAGGAATTCATCCTGCTGTCCTTGAAGTCAAGTCATGGAATTTTCACTGTGTTGGTAAACTGGAGGACACTAGAAAGAGTATTATTTAACAAGAAAAAAAAATTATTCTAAGATATAGGGAACCCATTTTTGACAGCACAGAAGAAAAAATGGTAATTTGAAATTTACACTTTAAATTAGTTCATTCATCTTCAGATATCTTGTAGTTTGAACATTCTGTTCTCTTCATAGCAGTCATACAACATTTATGACTCAGTGAATTTACAATCAAGGAAAAACTTCTGCAGTCTATTGTTGTTTTGTGAATAGTTAAGGACTATTACAGCTCTTTTGTTAATTCTTTGATAAACTAATAATTAAGAAGTCCTTCTGCTACAGTTAATGAAAATGCTGAGATACAGCTGTATGTCCAATGCTATATCAGTTTTAGAGGTCTTAATCACTGTCCTTTTTTGTTTCCATTTCAACAAACCTGACGAGAAGCAAATGACATTTCGGCATGACACAATAATTTTTAATTTTTCAGTGTTGCTCTTGTTTGTCAGCTTATGAGTAGTGCATTTTTGTTAATACATAAATTATTCTTCTGAATATATATCTTTTAATTTCTTTAATATATTTTTACAAAATATTAATATGCCACTTATAAATACTAAGTTTAATATAGAATCTTTGCAAACACACAACTTTACTGCTGAAGTGTATTTTTACCGTGCATATATATTTCTGCAGATGTATTTACAGAAGGGAGTTCACTGTGATCTGCAGAGCTTTCAAATCTACAAAGTAATAGGTCTTGCTAATGAAGTCAGTAATAACTCTCATTTCCCTGCTCAAATAATAGCCTTGTTACAGCTTCAAAGCAGCTGTTACTGTCTACACAATCTTTCCCGTAAGTACGTGTGAATACTATTCTAGTCCTTAGTGAGCTCCCTTCCCTGTATGTTTTTTGGCCAACTTGGCTCAGTACTGACATGAAAACGAGTGTGATGAGATGCACCACAAGACAGGAGCTAACCTGTGCTAGCAGGGGAGGGGATAGTTAAAATGAACGGAAGTCAACTTTGAATGAACATTCCTTTAGTCAAATTGCTATTTTAAATCTAGAGACATCTAGCAAGAAATAACAGGAAATGAAGAAACCTTTCACTATCAATTATCTGCGCACAGTTTCGAAATGTTTACATATTTCTTGTGCTCAATTAACCTTTTGGTTACACAATACATCATTCCTAAACCCAAATACACTACCTTCTAAGCTAAAGAAAATACAGTGAGAAAATGAAAGCTCTCCATATTTACACCAGGAGACAATTCCTGAGAAACTCCCTTAAGTCATTGACTGTACTTAAGAACAGATAGTGCTGAGGTCTGACTTCAATCCGATCAGGGTTACAGTTCTGCAGTCTGCCATCAACCTCCTGCATAACCATCAATCAGTCACTTTGCATTGTAGTGCTTTGAGTAAACATGTACAATATTTCTGTCTTCCCACCTTTCAGCTTATAATGAGCAACTTGTGGCTCTAACATCTGCTCCCACTATGAAGCCAGACTCTTGGCTGGGTACTCTGGATGCTACAGAAATACCAGTAAGATCATAGCCAAACAAGCAATTTCAGTACACCTCAGGAAGAAATACACAGCTGAATTTATCTAAACAGTTTCTTGAACCCTGTAAATTCAACAGTATAACCATCCAATTCAAGAAAAATTCCAGAAAAGTTGCAAATTTAAATAAAATGCTGTGTTTTTCTCTCAGGGATATGATTTATAAAATAAACCACACTAAACTGACCTTAACTTCAGCAGGTGAAAACAGGCAATTTTTTCCCTAAATACTCAAAGTTACTTTCTTCTTGTTACCTGCCCAGAGCAACCCTTGGGAATGCAAGAAAAGGATGGCCAAGCTCACTTAATAGGCAAGAATCTTGAAACTTGTTGTGACAGAAGTGAGCACCATTTTGCAAACTCCTTCCTTACTGGAAATCTAGCTTTGTTCCACTGCACAAGAGATGTCACTGATCTTTTAATGACTATATCCCAAGACTGGAAATATGACTTTCGCACTGTAATACTGGTTTTGGTGCTGACTGTCCTTGCCAGCTTTTCATGAGTTCCTTTAGTCATTCTACTCTTATTTCAATATAGTAAAGGACAAACAAACAACATTAACAATTGTGACTTTACTGTGGTAATACTGTATGTGTCATCTGAGGCTCTGGCAACAAATGGCAGTGGGAGGCAGAGGAAGGTGGTATATGTAGGCATTATACGTACATGGGAGAGACTCCAGTTCATTATACATAAGAAGGCATACTCAAAGAGCTCAGCAATCTGTAGACTCTTCTCTTCTTTGTAAAAACTAGGCCCTTTGCAAGCACTTTTTTAGAGATTAAAGATTTTGGAGATTAGACTTTTAAAGATCGGTGAATTATATAATCGGGACACGTAATTTTAGCACAGTCCCACAGAGTCAACTTCTTTGACGTAAACCTCAGGTTTGAAGTTGCCCATCAAACGTTATGTAACCAAACTTTTAGAGCTTCAGATTTAGTTGACACTTAGAAAAGCAATACACAGGCAGAACTTTCTTTAAAACTGAAGTAAATGACACATCTGTTCTCATGTACATACAGGGTTACAGTAAATTGAAGCAGCATCATGAAAAACGATGACTGGTTCAAACATACTCAAACTCAACATCTGGAGTAACAGCTTCATTGTGACTTTTCATTTGATTTAACAAGATCTGAAAATTCCAATGAACCAAAATAGAACATACTTAATATCTTACCTACCACTAGCCAAGCCTGTCCTAAAATGCATGATTTCCTTAGAGGCCATTCTCTTCAAAGAACATTGAACAAAACAGTTGTAGAAAGAAATCTTGGTAATTCCTCATTAAAACAAAAGGAAAATTCAGCAAAGTACTAGCTTGAAATCAATTTAAATTGAAAATACTTTTACATAATTTTAGCAAACCCAAACATAAAATGAAAACGGAATGTTCCATATGTTATTCTTCTTGTTTTCATCTAGCAGCAAATTATAAATACTACCATACTTTCATTTTGAGGCAAATATGCTTAAGGAATAGTTAATAATAAGGAATTTATCAAAGTCTTTCTTTTGTTAAGTTATTCTGTAAATTAAAACAAAAAGGGAAATCAGTCACTTCAACTTTCTGTTGCATTTTTTAAATTAACAAAGCACTAGCTACGAAAGAAATTTCCTTTCTTAACGAAGAGTAGAAATAACCTTCACATGGGTAAGGAAGAAAACATCTTTTTTTAAAGTATAGTAAAGCAAATGGCTCCTTTTCTTTACAGTTTACAATGAGGAAGCATTTCAGTTTATATTTTCTCATCAACTGCCCATTTCAATGCAAAAATGAATTGCTACATAAACATACTCTAGAGTATAATGTTCAGTTACCTAGCAACTTGTAGCACACACAGACAAAGATGTTAGCCTGTTTAATATTTTCTCCTAATGGTGGATATTCTTAAATTTTGCGTTTCCCAAAGAAGGAAGCTAAAATACAAGCTATAAACCTCGTGAAAAACAGTGTTACAGACAACCTTCTACTGGCCATGACAGTCATGGAGCCATTCAAATGGCAAGGTGACAATTAGGTACACATGTATCTCTCCACAAACTTCAATTTCCATCTTAAAAAGTAACAATACATGATTTTTCTACATTTCAAAATTTTTAGATTTTAAGCTCCAACACAGACATTGCTGAAGAGGACATAGTAAGACAACAGAATCGTAAAGCACACATTACTTCATATGATGTTCTGTTTAGCAATCTGATCTATTCCACATGATTAAACAAACTGATTTAAAAGAAAGCAGGTATTATTTATGACCTATGGCTGAGAAAATTCTTTCCTTTCTGTTAAAGCAAGCTCCTAATACAGATATAAGATGGATTCTAATCCTTTTGTTTTAACAAGAACTTATGAAATTCAAGTGATTCCTGATTATTCACCTATTGCAGTATAGGGATTTTTTTTTTACATTTTGGAAAATAAAAACACTGATATTTTTAATGTAGAGACTTACAGGTACATGGACTTTTCTAAACATTTCAGCTCCTTTGCGTGCATCCAATAAAGCCACGTCTTGTGGAGTGGAGATGATTACAGCTCCTGGGAAAAGAAAACATGAAATCCCATTATTAATTATACTGTTGAAACATTTTGATTATTTAGTACATGTTACCAAAGTCAAAGTAGTCCATGTGTATATGCTTTTTTCAAAAATTAAAGAAAAAAATTATGCCAAGTTTTTTATTATGCAATGACCAAAATAGCTGAAGTGATAAAAAAGTGATAAAAATAATTTCAATGTTTTCATCATAATTTTTCTATGCAGAGCTCTTTTGTCAAATGTTAGCTTCTAAAGTAAGCCTATAAGCTACTATCCTATAGTGTATTACTGTATTATTGTATTACTTCTTGATTAATACAGCCTGCAAAACCAATACAGGTATTTGAGTATTCCACATCACAAAGAGCATCTTTTTCCATATGCTCATCAGTTTCAAATATTATTTCTTCAAAATTTGCAACAAAAAACTGCTCATGCTCACTCCTATTTCAGAAAAATGTAATATACAAGAGAACATTACTGGTCAATTGATTAGCTTTGGTTTTGCAGTGACCATCTAGTCTCAGAAATATCTCTCTGGAGTCACATTAAGCCAACCATACACAAGAAATTTCTGTCAAACTTCACACTAATAGCAATTACAACAGACTTTGATGCATGGGACAGTTTCCTCCTGAGTCTGCAGTTCCCAGCCCTTGGTACACATGGCAAAGGTGGGTAGATTTTCCGAGGCACACAACCCTGGCATCACTGGCAGGGCCGGAGCAGCAGAAGCCTTGGCATTCCAAGAGTACTTCTGGCTCTGGCAGCACTGGGACGGGGAGCCCTTTACACCATCCACCTACTGCTGGGTGGCATCCTGCCTGCCTGCCAGCCATTTCCCAATGCGCCTGACAGCGCGTTTGAATGTTTTCAGCCAGCGTTCTTAACCTCCAATTTGTGAGAGAAAAATACAATCTGGCACCTCGCTACTGAAAAGCTGCCAATCTCTGCCTTACACAGTATTACACACAAGTCCAAAAACTGAATGGCATATGTAATGTACCAAGCAAATGCAATTTCCCTATTGTTCGCCGATACTCTGGCATCTGAATAATTTGCTGTTTTTCCCAAGTCAACGTGTTTCCAGTGGCATCACAAAGAATATCATGGAAACCTTACGGTGCCATCCAAGTCACCTTAGCTCCTCATTTCACTAAGCTCAGGGTTATACTTTACAGCCAACATTGAAACGCAGGGTTAATTCCACAAAATGAATGCACTTTTCCCTAAAATCACAGGCAACAAATAAACAATTTAGACTCAACGTCTTTGAGTTTTCCACACATTTGTAGAACAAAAATCTTTCAATACTTGGACAAATGCTTCTTACTGCTTTCTTCTCAAACAAAATTGGAAATGTGTGCCTTATGTGTACACACTTTTGTTAGTTGTTCACACTTTTATTCACGCTCTTCTCTGAAAATAGTGGCTCAACATTCCCTGGATCTTCAGGTAAAAGCTAATATGTGGTCTACAAGACTGAAGTCAACATTTTTTAGTCCATTATTAAGTTTTTTAAGAATCCAATAACTGGCATGGCATGAAGAACAGAGACTGCACAACAAAAACACCCACTAGAACCACAAGCAGCTTAACTGACAGATATTTATGACTAACAAATACTCATCCAAAGGAAAAAGACAAAAATGCCAAAAAGACCCAGTGGCACATTGTAGAGTTTGGGCTGCCACAAACACCAACTCTCTGTACAAAAAAATTCTAGCATTTGAAATATTAGTTACAATTATGCTCATGGACAATTTGCATGGTTTCTTCCACAGAATGAAAGCCAACATGCTCAAAAAGCTGTTGTAGAGGGTCTAATAGATGTTTCTCTCTGATTTTCCTTTTTACTCTGAGCTGGATTACAGAGAAAATTTATTCACAGCCAGTTTGTACTGACTTATACCAATGACCTATAAAATAAGCATCTTTTCTCCTTCTTTGGTACAACTGCTAGTCCAGCAAACCCAACCTGAAGTTCAAGAATTCAAATTATTTGCAGCATTATTTCCTTCACTAGCAACCAAATATGGCAAATGAGACTTTTCATGGTGCTCCCCTCCCTGAATAACTTTGCATATATTTAATTCAAAAAGTGATTCAAATGATGAGCAAAAAAGAACACAGCCCACACTTTCCTTGCTATCTTGGCTCTACACAGTTAACAGGAATATCAAACAGTAAAGAGTTATTTTGATCAATAAAGTAATGAAATATGACTGAATTCATGAACTCAGTATGAGTCTGAAGCAACATGGGCAATGTTTACACAAGCCTCTGTCTTAATGAGACAAACTAAGGCTGACAAATTGAATGGAGAAGCTGCAGAAACTATAACGCTATCACATTGCACATTAAAACATACTACAAATTCTGTGTTTGCAGTTGCGTGCAGAAGAATAATTTCTGTGCCTCAAGCATACTAAGGATATCTAAGTAGAGCACATTTATCTTTAACTGACTTATCTACTTATTCATGCATTCCATTTATTTTTATAACTTCACTGTATTTCAATTGAGAAAAAGCTGTTCCATATTCACCAAATCACACAAAATCATAGAGTGGGTAAGGTTGGAAGGGATTACTGTAGGTCATCTAGTCCCGTATAAGCAATATCCCTTAGAGGATATATTAAGGATTCTGTCCAGACAGCTGGTGAATAAATTTAGTGAGAGATACTCCACAACCTCTCTGTGCAGCCTGTTCCAGTGCTCAGTCACCTGCACAGTAAAGAAGCTCCTCTTCATATTCAGCTAGAACTTCCTGTGCATCAGTTTCTGTCCACTGCCTATCTTCCTATTGCTTGGCACCACTAAGAAGAGCCTGGTTCCTTCCTCTTGATACCCTCCCTTCAGATACTTCTGCACATTGATAAGATATCCTCTCAGTCTTCTTCAGACTAAACACACCCAGCTCCCTTGTAAGCCTTTCCTCATAAGCAATGTGCTCCAGTCCCCTAATCTTCACAGCCCTTTGCAGCTCTAGCTCCAGGAGCTCCATGGCTCTTTTGTTCTGAGGGGTCCAGAACTGGACACCGCACTCCACTGAGACTGCATTAGCAAAAATTGTGTTAACTGTATTTTTAATCCTTAGGACACATAATATACAGAGACGGAACGAACAGTGCCTGTAACACAGATGTTTGCCTTCCTTTTTAACCCCAGATCTTTAATCCTCAGTGAAAGAAAGGTGTGCCTACAGAGCACATTGGTACTCAGCCTTCTGGTGGACTGGTGCTCAGGAAAATTCAAGCACTGAAACAGCCTATAATTTCTGTGTCTAGAAAATATTGCCTATATTCACTGCATCATTAAGTTTTGCATTAGATGCTCTGAGTTAAAAGGCATAAGGTGAAATCTCACTAAGCCTTAGTTACAGTCAGTGTGTACTCAAACAAAAAACATGGAGGTCTAAAAAGCAGCTGATAACCAGCAGTTTAGAAGGTCTACCTCAGGATGAAAAGGATCTAATATATTCTTTTTTTGCCCTCCAGTGTCTTCACAGACAGACTTCAGAACCAGGCCACATGCCTCTTATCCAGACAGATGATTAAGGATCCCTCCACACACAAGTATTAGACTGTGTCTTATATCACCCTCTTAGCAAATCATGTCACTTCAAAAGCTGAGGAGTGAAGTGTAACTGACCAGAAAGACTCACAGAGTTCTGGAGGACAAAGACACTGAATAATTGCATCTGCTGACTGACAGGACCTTAACACTCTTGGCAAGGAACCACATTCAGGCCTCAATGAAGCTGCAGATGGCCTGATCTGACCACATGCTCATGCACTTTTTGTAGCTTTTGCTACCTTTTCCACTTTCAAACTTCTAGGTGAGACTTTCAAGTTATAACAGCCTGGTTAATCTGAATCTTCACTACTATGGATCTCTCAGAGTCCCTCTGACCTCCTGTTAAATTTCTTGCTAGCTCATAAATAAAATGTGCCTGCAATTCCACATAGAGTTTGCACTTGAAGATGCAGAAAAAAAGATCTTGCAAGAACAAAGTCTTCTGTCTTCGCTTTAATTTCAACTGGCAATGATTACAGATAAATTAACATTAGAAAACTGTTCATCTCCTTGAATAAACCTTGTAAAGAAGTTCCTTTAGCTTTTATGTGTGATATCCCATTACAGTTAGCAACTTAAAAGAACCACTAGTGATTTTCCATTACAGGATTCTCACCTCAAACTCACACTACAGCTCAGAACTGTCCCAAAGGCTGGATCCTGGCTGCGTCACACCTCCAGCCTGCTTGCTACCTTCTTCTTGGAGGAAACATTGAACAACTGCTCAGACAGTATATGTTTCCAAGAGCCACACACCCCCTTCTGCCCAAGAACTAGCAGGTAATTGGAGATGGGGATGCTACTGACTTGCCCATATGAAAAAGGAACAGAAATCAGGGCAAGATTCTTCCTCCTGGCAAGTGGAACTGACAGTGAAACCACTGAGCAGAGGAATATCACAAGCTGGATAAAACTGTCATCCTAAAGCTAAACTGCCCTCATCTAACTGATCAGTACGTATTGTAACATCCATTTCACACTCCATCACATGGAGGAAGATGTGGAAAGACAACTCTGTGTTAAAATGTTTGGCTTTGGTCATGGCAAACTGAATGCATATGTCACACTAATGCAATTTACAATGAAATATTTATTTAGTGAAGTGAAAACACTGAAAACATTTGTAATAACATCTGTGAGCAAGCACTATCTGCAAAGGATAGGCATAAAATAAAAAGCTATTCCCTCAGAGACACTCTGCCACTTTACACTTTTCCTCAGCTGTCTGAATTAGCAGTTTTCAGCTCTACTCCGTTCCACCTCCTGCTATTAAGGGCATCTGCCAATCACGTCCAGATTATTATGAGTACTGTACCAGGCAAGAGTGAAGTCCAGATAGCCTCTTTGACAAATGAGTATGATTTTTTTTAAATGAGAGGTCCTAATCCAAAGAGGAGAACTGGGTGATTCTACTGAGTGA